CCCCGCCCCGGCCAGGCCCGCCCCCATTAACCCCTCCTTTGTCGCTCCCCCTTCACCTCTATAAGCCGTCACCCGCTAAAGGCTTCCAACGCCAGGGAAATCTCACCTGCGGCTGGAACCCGCCTCCCCACCCCCTCCCCAATTCCTACAGAGTCCCCAGACTGCAGGCTCCCGCCTCATTAACCCCTTTGCTCACCCTCTCTCCAACCCCACACCTCCAACTTGACCAAACCCCGGGATGCGGGAGGGAAGCCCTCCCCCACCGACTTACCTTCGGCCGAGCCACTTCCTCCCCTCCCAGACTCCAAGCCTAAGTAATTAACGTTCCTATCATTACATGCCCCGCACCCCCTAAAGGAGAGAACAGAGGGGTGTGGGAAGCGACCCCTGGAAGGAGTCTCGGGGCTTCCGGTTCCAGCCTTGCCTCTCGGCCAGACCGCAGGCTGCTGACCTCTCCGTGCCTCAGTTTCCTCTTCTGGCTATAGGGTCGCACCCTAGTCCCTTTGTCATGGGGATATCATTTTGAGGTGTTGGATCTATCAAGTCTGTAAAACGTGACCTCCCCCCACGCCATTTTCCCCTGCTCTGTTTACTTTTCTCCAGAGAACTCGTCATCATCTCATGTTCTATGTATTTCACTTAATATTTTTCTAATTATCTGCCTCCCTAGGAGGAGTGTCATTTTGGCATCTGGGTTCGTGCCCCAGTTGGAACCACGGTCCATGATCTACGGCCATGCCGCCCTGAACAAGCTCGATCCCGTCTGATCTGGGAAGCTAAGCGGGGTCAGGCCTGGTTACTACTAGTTAGTACTTGGATAGGAGACCACCTAGAAAGACCAGGTGCAGTAGGCATAAATAATAATAAATAATAAAAATAAAAATAAAAAAAACACCGGTGCACAATTAGGTGTTCAATGCACATGGTTTTCAGGGAGTGAACACATGCCGGGTGAGTGCTCCCGACGTATCTGCTTGTTTTTATTATCGTCGTCATGCCTTTCGTCGGTTGGTTCTGAGAATTCATTCTTGGTCAAAGCACTTCCTTTGGACAGACCTGGTATGCAGCACTCAAAAAATGGCAACTATTCGCTTTGCAAATTCTTGCTTATTTTTTCAATAAAAATAATGCCCGGATCTTAAGGGAACAATACAATGAGTTTGTGACAAACAGATACACCCATGTGACTAAGCGCTCAAATCAAGACAGAGCATTCCCATGACCCAGGAGTGTTGTTCTTTGTCCCTCTGCAGGCAATATTCACACTCTCCTTCACCCCCAGAGGCAACTCGGCTTTCTTTTTTCACCAGAGATTAGTGTCACCTGTTTTAGAACTTCATAGAAATGATGTAAAAAAAAATTTTTTTAAAGGTAGCTATTAGTATAGCCATTCACTATGTGACCTCGGACGAGGGACTATACTTCTCTGAACCATATTACCTTCCTCTCAAGGCTCTTGAAACAAAAAGTGACTGTCGGACGTGGTTCCATAGTGAAGTGGTGAGCACATCTGCTTTACAGGCAGAAGGTCCTGGGTTCGCGCCCCAGGTGGAACCACGGTCCATGATCTACGGCCATGCCACCCTGAACAAGCTCGATCCCGTCTGATCTGGGAAGCTAAGCAGGGTCAGGCCTGGTTACTACTAGTTAGTACTTGGATAGGAGACTACCTAGAAAGACCAGGTGCTGTAGGCATAAATAATAATAAATAATAAAAAAATAAAATTAAAAAAACAAAGCGAGCGTAACCAAGGACCCAAGCAACCTGAAACGCACACGGAAGTAAAGGCATTTTCCTTCCACCTTCCCTCAAGGGGACAGTCAGGGATAGATCCAAGGAATGTGTCATGAAGGCTTTAGCCCCTCCCCACAAAGAATCCCACATACATCCTGCCAGGCTCCTGGCCATCCCAAGCTCTTCCTAAAGAGAAATTCTGGGACCACTGATGAGCGAGGGGCCCCTTCTCACCCTGAGTTTGTGCTGTGATTCAATCAGGGTCCTGGCAGGCAGCAGGTGGCGACTCAGAGTTTAAGCGGCAGCATTTCTGAAGGGACATTTTAGAGGGGTGGGAGCCTCAATGAGACCCAAGCCATTATTCATCCCCCTTTGGGGAGAAAGCTAGAGTTTGGAGAGGAGCCCCTAGGAGCTGTAGTTGTAGGTACAGGAACACAGCCACTGCCAGGCCGGCAGGGATGCGGGAGAGGCCGGAAAATAAATACTCCCACCTCCCTCCTCCCACCCTTGGGTTTCCTGTCAGTGCCTCTGATTGACAAAACCCAACCAGAAGGCGGAGGGCAAGGGACCCCGGTGGATGGAGTCTGCACAGGGTAGCCTCCCAGGGCCCGTGGCAGGAGAAAAGCAGAGCGACCCTAGGGGGCACGTGGAGAGCTACCAATGCCATTCCCATAGAACTTTCTAGGCTCATTTTCCCATGCAGGTCTGAGGCTGGGCAGTAGGGGGCAACAGAGCTCCAAACACCCAATGAACAGGATGCTTCAATAACGCTGGCCACTTCCCCAGGACTTGACAGACTAGTAGGTGGGTTTGCAGGTTTCTGAGGCAATATTTTCCTCCTTGAGGAAGGGGCGGGTTTGATTGTCACTCTGAAACTACAAGAGTCTGAGCTTTCCATCCCAAGTGATCATCTGTAGAGTTGAGACAACAAAAGGAAACAAACATGCAGGGCTCTACAAAATTCTTCTGTATTGTTGTCCAGAAAAATCTTGTATGCTTGCTACCTTATTATAGTTTTATTAGAGCGGTGTTTCTTAAAGTGTGATCCTCGAAGCATCGGCCTCATCTGGGACCTCTTGGGAAATGCAAATTCTTGGGCCCCTCCCCAGACTGACGGAATTAGAAACTCTAGGTGAGGGGTTGGGAGGAACTGCATTGTCATTACAAGCCATGCGGATGATTCTAATGCTCCTTCAAGCTTGAGAGAACAACTGAACTAGAGAAGAGAAAAAAAGTCTGCATCAAACATTTCAAAAGATATAACTAGGTGAGTATCTAGTATAAATTATCTCGGCCACAAAACATGAGGAATTTGGAACCACTCAATCCCCACCCCATATGTATATATTCTATGGTGTGAGAAGTCAGGGCAGTGGTTAGGAGGGCAGTGACTGGGAGGGGGCCCAAGGGGGCTCCTGGGGGAATGCGGATGTTGTTTCTCCATCTGGGAGTTGGCTGCATGGATTCAGCAGACTACACATCTGTGATGAGTGCACTTCTCTGTACGTTAATCGCCAATAAAAAAGTCAAACAAACATTTGCTCAAGATTAGATACCAAGTTGAGAAATTCCTGAGAACCCTGATGACCGCATCTGAGCCCCCTGAATCCAGCTGGGCCACTCCTGCCTGGACTTACCCAGTTTCGGGACCTGGCAATTTCTTTTTATCGTTTATGCTGGACGGAGTTGGGTTTGTCTCTTGCAACCCAGAATCCTCATACCCTACCTCTCAGACATCTTTTGTCTTACCTCTCTGAAGACATTCCTTGCCCTACTTAGACCTGGGGGACAGGTTGAAGTCTTCCATGTTTTTACACAAGCCCACCTCCCTGGTCACGATCATTGGCCCAGGACGGGTACTTCATCCAAGTGGAGCCAATCACAGTAGAACAAACAGCAGGTCAAGTTGATTGATCTGCAGATGGGCCAATCCCAACCCTTCCCTGCGATTTTGGGACTTGGGGCCCAAGGCTGGTTGATGTGAGCTTTGCAGCTGCTGGGTGCCATGTTTCTGTGGTGTGCAGAACGCTGGTCCAGAAAACTATGTTCACTCACAGGTCAGAGAAATTATGGTAGGAGTGTGTCCTGGTGGCCCTCAAATCCTTGGTTTGATGGCCCTGAAGCCTAGAGGCATATTTGCCCTTTCTTGTGTGATTTGTGGGCCAACTGAGTTCTCTTTTGGCTTCAGTAGAGTAAGCTTGGTTTCCATCACATCCAATAAAGACCTAAGCAATAATGGTCCCTCATCACAAACACTGTAATAGATATACACACAAACACACCCCCATATGCACACATCTACAGACATACTCAATCTATGCACACACCCACAGGCAGACCATGACACTCCACCTCAGTGCATGTGTCTTTATTTCTGGATGATATAAAAGAATAAACTTAAAAAACACCTCAAACGAAACACCCCAATGGCTCACCCAAAGCAACGTGACCCCTCTTCCCACCCTGATAAATAGAGACTTTTGTTCGTTAGTCCACCCTCCCACCCCCATAACTCTCTCTGCTATAGACATACTCTGGGTATATATTACTCTACTCGGCAATAGACATCTCCCGAAAATAGAATTCCAACCCTACCACCTGACTCTGCCCCGGCCCCATGTCCCTTGGGACCCCCTCTCCCACTTCAGACCACCCGCCACTGCAGTATACTGGTGTCCTTGCCCCCGGTGGTCAGGGCCACACTGTCATCCCACAAGAAGGCCACATTCGTCACATGGCTGCTGTGTCCTCCGTACTTGTGGCTGAGGGCCTATGACAGGGAAAGAAGGAAGCAAAAGGTCAGGCGGCCATGCCCCTTCCTGAATTCCCAACCTGACCCCCTCTACTCTGCTCAATAAACCCCTCTTTAAGAAGGAACAGGGCAAATGATCTGATTTCTCAACGAGTCAATGGCATAATACACGTCGGGGAGGCGACTCTGTATGACATGACACGAGACATAGGCAAATGCAACGTTTGGACCTTGATTCAAACAAACCCAGTGTAGAAGGCCATTCTGGGGACAATCAAGGGAATCTGGATATGGACTGGGCATGAGATCATGTTAAAAAATTGTTAACTAATGAGTATGAGCATGGATTTGTGAACGTCGGAATTATCTTAATTTTTGAGATATGAATGTTAATTTGGGGGGCTAAGAGGTCATATATGACATTTGTTTTTAAAAAGCACAGAAAAAAAGTATAGGAAAAAAAGAACAGAAGAGGAAAAAAAAAAGAAATAAGTATGGCAAATCTGGTAATAGTTGAATATGGGTAACAGGTATAGGAGGGAATTCAAAAGAAAATTTTAAAATAATTTTCACCTCTGTTAGAACCAGGGAATGTTAAAATTAACATCCAGTTTTATCGTAGACACAGGTTATCCACTAGTGGCCTGCGGGCTTGACTATACTCTCATTGTTTTTAGAAAGACAGTTGCTGACATATAAAAATCGAGAGAGCTCACACTAAAATTCTGATTTCCAGCCTCTCCCAAGACCTCGCAAGATCTGGCTACGCCAGCTTCCCACTAGAAGTGAGGTGTGATGAGGTGTAAGGAGTGGCTGTCCCCAGCCTCATTCGATTACTCTCAAGACCTTGCAGTTTGTGTCCCTTGTCCTAGAACTGCAGGAGAATCACAGACGCTGTGGATCAGAAAACCTTAGACCTGTAACTAGCGGGAACCATCATGCCACTTAGAATGTCAGCTCGGTGAGGGCAGTGACCCCATCTGACTTACTTACTGCTGTATCCCCTGGGCCCAGGCACATAGCAGGTGTTCGATGTTCGATCAATGTTTGTTAATAAGCATAAAAGAATCAAAGCGCTCAAAATTGCAGATGCTCAGAGATTTAGCACTATAGACTGGAATTCGTCAACCTTCAGGTTAAGAAAGGTCCTTGGGATCAAGCTCACTGCCCTCCTTGTACAGATGGGGAAACTGAGGCCCAGAGAGGGCTGGAGGTAGACCAGGGCTGCCTCAATCTTGTCCCCACTGCTGCTTGTTACCCCCACCCTGCCAGCGCCCCAGAGGGACTCACTCGAGGCTGACAGCAAGGGTAGCTAAACAGGTGGACTTTGCCAAAGTCGTCAGCTGAAGCCAGCAACTTCCCATCATGGGAGCGGGCCACGGCGTTGATGTCGGTACCATCTGCTCCCTCAGACCAGATGCCTGTGGGTGGTGATGATCAGATGTCAGCGGGAGCCAGGGACCCCCCACAGAGGAACGGGCCTGGGCCCCGGCCTCCCTGCCTTCCTCTCACTCACCCTGTCTCTAGCCAGGAACGGCAATCAAAACGATCTTTTGGATACGTGAACCCGACCCTGTCCCGCCACAGCTCAAAACGCTTCGTGGCTCCCTGGTGGCCTCAGGAGAAAGCTCCAGCTTCTCACCGTGTCCCCCAGGCTCTGCCTGGCCTGGTACCCCCAACCCCACACACACACTGCTCCAGGCTTGTCTTTACTACTGCCCCCCTGGAACTCTGTAATGATTTAGCCACCCCCGCCTTCTCACATTTCTCCAGATGCCAAGCTCTGTGTCACCTAGGGGTTTCTGTACATGCTATTATTCCATTTGCCTAGAGGCTGCTTTCCTTCGCCTCCCTGGAATGTACCGCCTCATCCTCTTGGATGTCCGGCTTGGATGTCCCTTCCTCCAGGAAGCCCTCCCTGACTCTCTCCCAGACTGGGGCCAAATGCCTCCCCTGGGTTTCCTTATCCAGGCCTGATCTACAATGGGTTGTCCAGGTACAGGTGTATCTGCCTCATTGGACTACGAGCCCCATGACAACAGGGCTGGGGCTGTTTTGGTCACTACCATGTCCCAGCCCTGAGCAGCTCAGGGCTGGGCACAGAGGTGCTCAGGAAGTACACGTTAAATGCATTAATGCCCGAATGAAGAGGCGGCTGGGGCATCGGCAGTGTGAATCCCTCTGAACCAGATGCCACCACCCATCTGGTCTCACTTCATTATAGCTCCAAGGGACTTCAGTGGTCATCTCACCCTACCCTTTCCTCTTCCACAAATATCGCCCACAAGTATACTCAAGGAGTGGGTTTCCCACCCTGGAGGTAATCAAGAGAAAGAGACTGTGAAAACCACCAGAAAGGGATGTTTCTTAGAAATTCTGGCTTCCATGGGTCCTCCTCCATTCCAGAACTTACCGAACACCCCAAACCCCAGGACACAGGTAGCCGTGGCCCATTCCATATTCCTCACAGCATCCGCACTGGTAATCTGCTTACAGGTAGCCGGGTCCCCTGGGGTGGAAAATGGGGACAGGGGTTCAGAGCTGAAAGAACTTCGGGCTTAACCCATCCGTTTCACAGACGTGGGCACTGAGGTCCGAGACGGGAGGTTGGGGTCCCAGGGCTTATTCCACCTCTCGGACTGGCTGAGGGGGGTGGACCCTGGGTTCCGACACCCCAAAACCTGAGCCACGGCATCTGCTTAGAAACTTGTACCCTACTGACCCAACCAGAAAGGGGAGGAATTGGTTAAAAGTAGGGTCCACCAGGGAGGAAATCAGAAGCTAGGAAACCAACCAATCGGAACGGCCCTTAAATACAACAGAGGAGAGAGACTTGGCGAAGCCAGTGCCTCCCATCCCAGCCCTCTCGGGGGAAGTCTATGCAAATCGCACACGCAAATAAGGAGGCTGAAGGAGGAATGGCCGGGGGTCCCGGAGAACTCACAGTACAGAATCTCATAGTCCCCGGAATTGGTGACAAAGCAGCTGCTGTCCTGGGCCCAATCCAGGTGGGTGATAAAACTGGAATGGCCCTGTGGGGGAAGGAAGAGGTGGGGTTAGAGCTGGAGGGGGCAGGATTAGACCAGTTAGAACGCATGGCAAAAAATACAGAGGTACGGTGAGAACACAGCGGGGCTAAAAGGATACACAGGCCTTTAGAGGTGGGGGCAAGGCCAGACTATCATGGGCGGGCTAGACAAAAAGGGATTGGGACACAAGGCGAGTTTAGAACATGTGAGCAGAGCTAGACATGTGAGCAGAGCTAGACACAGAGGGGCGGGCTTTGAATGCAAGGGGCTGGGCTACACAGAGGGTGCGCTTAGAACGTGAGGGGCGGGGCTATGCAGAGGGGCGGGGCTACACAAAGGGGTGGGCTTAGAACGTGGGGCGGGGCTACACGAAGGGGTGGGCTTAGAACACGGGGTAAATGTGTGGGCGGGGCTTAAGTCTTCAGGACGTGATCAGGTCAGTTGAGTGCTGAAGCTGTGCTCCTTTGAGGTAGAAAATTGGTTAATTCTGCACCCCCTGGACGGGTGGTGGCGCGGGCTGGGGGCCATTGCCCACTCACCGAGCACTTGCCCAGGCGGCTGACCTTGCGGCCGCCTTGGTCCACCGTGTACACGTACACCAAGTTGTCGTGGGAGCCCACGGCCAGGTACGCCCCGTCTGGGGGAGGGGGAGGGGGCTATGAGGAGACACCCAGGCTCCGCCCCCTCCTCAGAGTCAGCCCCCCACTATCCCTGACTCCTCGACAGTCCCAAGCTCCACGCCCACTACAGTCCTAGACCACCCCCAGGCCTGGCCACACAGGTGTCACCCCATCCCCCTGCCAATAACTCTGAGCCTCAGTTCCCAAGCCTTGCCTTGCAAGGTCCCAAGCCCTGCCCCTTACCTGGGGAGAAGCTGACCACTGAGATCTGTTCATTGCCATCTGTATGGATAGCCACCAGGTCATGAGTCTCTGTGTCCAGCAGCAGCCATCTTTAAGGAGGAGGCATGGGGGGTGGGGGGGAAGGAGAGGTGAGCTGATCTGGTAGGAGCGGGGCAATCTGTGGGGCCTGAGGGAGGGAGTCCAGAAGAAATTTGGAGAGAGACTGACTCCCGAGGAATGCTGGGAGGTCAAGTCTTGGTAAACAGTTGGTACCTACTTAACATTCTCTGTGGACCCTGGGGCAGGAGAGGGGCAGGAGTCAAGGGATAGTTCAGGGGAGGAGGAGCGGAGCAGCCCTTCCCAAATGCCCAGTTCAGCTTTACCTGCCAGTCACTGTGCCCACAGCCAGGACAGAGCCACTGGGGTGGAAGCCAGCAGAGCGGGCGGGGTCC